ATATATTTAAGAAAAATATGCTAAGTTTATATATTAAATATATTTATATATAATATACATTATATGAATATAAATATATACATTTAAATACATTTAAATATTTTCAAAATATATACTGTAGAGCTGCCCTCGACTAAAGATTTTTCTGGTCAACCAGTAGTCGTTCATGTTAAGCGGTTAGTTGACTAATCGCACGTTTATATTAATAAACCATAAATCATAGTAATGAGTGTTTAATTGCCTATGTAGCGCACGAATAAGGTTTGCCACACAGTGCACCGGCAGAAGTAATGATTATGAATGCATCATACCTTTTAGTATTTTAACATTTTAATAATTCGTTGATAAACCAGTGTTTGCTGTATTTTCGGCTGCAGTGATGAATTGACGATCTCTTCAGTGGATGCGCCTATATTAATGTTTCATACAGATCACATAACCTTAGAATAGTTGTTTTCCGTCTTAATTGGTTCGTTTAAAAGCAGACATTTCGCTTTCTATAGATAGGACTATATTTCTTATGCCTGAAGCAAGTATACACGGAGTTTCGTTTTATTATTTGATAAATATAGTTCAATGATAGTTCAAAGACGGCAGAACGCGCACGTGTTTGCTTTCATTATTTTACAAAATCACAAAGTTTTTTGTTGTTTTTTTGTTATTGTGACTGCACACAAATAAAAGAAGAGTCTTCAAAGCTTACAAAGATGTATAACTCCTATTTGTATGACCAAAACATTTTAAGTGCAAGTGATCACACCGGCGCACGCTTCCTCATTCCGCACAAACACTGAAATAGCACACATTTTTATAGGTTAACGTTAGAGCGAGCGGCCATGTGAAGTTGCTACTAGTACTAGTACTGTTTCAGATGATAATCCATATTTGAGGTCGATGAATGATAGGTGAGCGTTTGGATGCCCTGGCCGATGTACTGTATATTACCACATAGACCAACTGTTAATGATCTTTCGTCGCAGAATGCATGATAATACACATATATTATATAAACAAAAACTTTTATTTTGGATGTGATTAATTGCAATTAATCGTTGCCCAGCACTCACTCTCTCGCTCTCTCTCTCTCTCTCTCTCTCTCTCTCTATATATATATATATATATATATATATATACAGTATATATATATAGTTACGGATAATTAATTTCTCTTTGAGTAGGGGTTTAATTTAATTCGTAACAATATGGAGCGTCTGATGGAGCGTCTAATGGATAATAATCTATGAAATCTATTTTGAGGGGATCAAAAGAGGCATGTCAGTTTCTAGACTGTGTAATATTCACATTGCCATGCAGTATTTCTGATTCCTGATGTATTTTTTGTATGTTTTTGTATCGATTTGCAGTCTAGTTTCATGCAGATTTCACAGCCACTGATCCAGTTGTGTTGATTCCCATCGCCAGTGATTTGCTGTGATTGTTTTTTGCTCTTCTGTCCCAAAAATACACCTGATGCCACATCTGCTCAAATCACATCACAGAAAAGAATGAAAAACCCACCGAAATCCTCCCAAAAATGATCAGAGAGAAAATATTTTTACAATATGCTTTCTGTTTGAATCATTCAATCTCAAGCAGTGAGTCATGAATTGCATCCGCTTCTTAAATAAGCTGTAAAGTATGAAGCAACATTTCTCACTGACATTTAGAGTCGATCTCAGGCGCTTTCTGGCATTTGAAGATGACGTCTGCTCTCTGCTGTGTTTCATTTTCAGGATGAGAAGAACCAGGTTCTGACAACCAACATCTGGCTTCAGCTGGTGAGACACACAGCATATGATCATCATCTTAAAAACTCTGCTCTCAGCAATTTTTGATTTATTCACACAGTGAAAACTGTAGTTGGTCTTGTTATATATCAGATTATACTCTAACTTTCACAAGATTACAATTGGTAAGATTTTTAATGTTCTGCTCACTAAAGCTGCATTTATTTGATCAAAAATACAGTAAAATCAGCAATATTATTATTATTATTATCATTATTATTATAATAAATTTTTCTTAAATATTCCATTTTGTTATTAGAATGATATATTGGCAATATTTTTATTTCATATATAGAAAAATTCTTTATAGAAATATACAACTGAATAAAGCACTTATTTTGCTGCAGATTATTAATTTACATTAAAATGAATGTAGAAAAACCTTTTGATTGTGTCTGTATATATATATATATAGAGAGAGAGAGAGAGAGAGAGAGAGAGAGAAGTCTCTTCTGCTCATCTATATTATTTTTCTTAATTTGTTACTTTGACGTACTATAATAATTATTATTTTTTTAATAATGATTATTTTTTATTATTGTATTATATTTTTCTTACATATAATTTTTTACTTAACATTGAAACAATAATTGTAATATAATTTTTTTATAATATTAATGTTAATATTATTATATTAACATTAATATTATTCTCTTATGCCCACCAAGGCTGCATTTATTTGAAATACTGTAAAAACAGAAATATTTTAAACGGAATGGCTTGCGAAAATATATTTTTAAATTTTAAAATATATTCTATTTAAAACAAAATACTAGAAATGTACATCAAGGGGCAAGAAAATACATTTACAAATTTGGGTAAATGCAAAATGTATTTATATATAAAGTGTAAATATATTTATAATGTCCTATATATGTATGTATGAATATATCTACATATATATATATATATAAAATGTTCTCGAAATATTAGAATATTTACATTTGAGTGCTGGAGTCAGTGCATCGAGAGTCACCACGCTCAGACGTCTTCAGGAAAACTTCTGAAACAGAAACAACGTCAGAAGCATCTCACCTGGGCTAAGGAGAAAAAGAACTGGACTGCTGCTCAGTGCTCCAAAGTCCTCTTTTCAGCTAAAAGTAAATGTTGCATTTCATTTGGAAATCAAGGTCTGGAGGAAGACTGGAGAGGCACAGAATCCAAGCTGCTTGAAGTCCAGTGTGAAGTTTCCGAAGTCAGTGATGATGTGTGTGTGTGTGTGTGTGTGTGTGTATATATATATATATATATATATATATAATTGCACAAAGTATAAATTATATTATATTATATTATTATAGATATATTCTTTTGAGTTGCTATGGTTCAACATATTTAATTTAAATTTTAAAATAAAGTTCTGAACATAAATTAAATTCTTTATAGAAATATACAACTGAATAAAGCACTTATTTTGCTGCAGAGTATTCATTTACATTAAAATGAATGTAGGAAAACCTTTTGTTTTAAATTTTTTACAAGTACTTTTTGAAGAAGATGTTATAAGAGGAAGATCTTTGGTGGGTCTTAGCAACAAGACAAAAATTACACTGGGTTTGATTGATTATAGGTGCGACACATCTTACCCCGCTCTGCCCATTTATAAAAGTCGATAAACCTCATTATAATCTACATCATCATCTGTGTGGCCATTGCTATTGGATTAAGCGGATCATGTGACGTCTGACACGACCCGTCTCTCCACTAATGAATGTGATTTGTCCAGGCTGTAATATCACGTCTAATCAAATAATCCACGTCTGCCATATGTCTCACTGAAGAGCTGGAGTGGCTTTTGTCTCTGAAAGCATGCTGGGAAAGAAAGGTAGTTATTTTGAGTAGATGTGGAGGAAACCCAATGGATCTGGCTTTCTCTGAGACCGCAGGGGCGTTTAATCCGGTTTCCTCGGCGTAACCTCAGCTCACGGCTTTAGCGTTTGTGTTCCTGGTCATTCAGACGTGAATCCAGCCTCCTACACGCACAGATCTGCTTAACTGGAGAAAACACAGCATTTGTCCCACTTCTGATGAAATTATGAGTGGAGTTTGCACAAAAACACTACATAGGGGGGAAAAAGCAGTGATACTTTTAATGATGATTGTTAAACAATTACGACGATTAATGAACAAACGTAAACCAAGTTGAATTGTTTGCATTTGTTATCTCACACACAAAAAAAGGGTCTGAATCAGGGTTGTTATGATTATCTAAAATGTATTAAAACATTTTCAGCACTTGAAATAAATAAAAAAAACATTAAGTGAAAATAAAATATTTAAAAAACTAAAACATTAAACTAATAAAAAAGCAAGGCAGCATTTCTCATTTCCGTTTAGTTTAAGTACTAAAGTAACTGACACTAAATAAAATACATTTTAAAATTAAACCTAAAAACTATAAAGACAGATTTAATGACAAATCAACACAGTTCTAAAGCTTTAATTAAAACTAAAATGAGAACAGAAAATATAAAAATAAAATTCAAATTATTGACAAAAAAATCTATCTATCTATCTATCTATCTATCTATCTATCCCAATATATATCTATATATAATATAACCCAATATGTGTGTGTGTGTGTGTGTGTGTATGTATATATATATATATATATATATAAAACCCAATTTGCCCAAAATATTTGTAGATATAGATAGAAAAACATATTTTCTTAATCTGTGCTGTTTAAATTTAAATAAAGAAATCTGGGGCCATAGCATATATGATGGTTGGATGGAGATAAAAAATGAATGAATGAATGAATGATTTGGAAACTGGGGCGATAGCATATATTTTGCATATATATTGGCCAAAAAAAAAAGGGAACAAAATGAATAAAAAATAGATTAATTCATAAACTGGTGCACAGAAGAGCAAATGATGAGTAAAGAGTATTTCAGGCCGAGGGTGATTTATAAAGGCGTCTTGATTGTGAGGAATCGCTCAGGGTATGAAATAACCTCCGACGCGTGAATGGAAACGACAGAGAGAGATTACAGAGAGTTTGCAGAGTGAGCGGCTTTCTAATCTTCATGAAGAGCGAGGGCGTCCTGTTATTCTCCTGCAGAGAGCGCCGATAACAGCCTAATTAAACATGTGCACGCGCAAATGTTTGGAGGAAAACAGCTGACACGAGAAACCGACAAACGTCCTCTGCTGAATGTCATTCGCAATCTGCCGCGTCGAAGATGACCTTGTATAGTCTAAAATAAAGTCTAGGAGCTGCAAGTCAACTATGAAGAACAGATCTAAAGGGTTTTTCCTCTCCGCACAGAAGTTAGCAAACTGTAAAAATGTTGATTGTCTCATCACAGTGTCATTAAGAAGTTTATGCCATTGAATAAAACATTTTTTTTTTAAAAAGGTAATTGTGACTTTTTATCTCACAAGTCTGACTTTTCTGAGAAATAAAGTAGCAATTCTGAGAAATGAAGTCGCAATTCTGAGAAATAGTTGCAATTCTGAGAAATAAAGTACAATTCTGAGAAATAAAGTCACAATTCTGAGAAACAAAGACACAATTCTGAGAAATAAAGTCACAATTCTGAGAAATAGTTGCAATTCTGAGAAATAGTTGCAATTCTGAGAAATAGTTGCAATTCTGAGAAATAAAGTAGCAATTCTGAGAAATAGTTGCAATTCTGATAAATAAAGTAGCAATTCTGAGAAATACTTGCAATTCTGAGAAATAAAGTAGCAATTCTGAGAAATAAAGTCGCAATTCTGAGAAATAAAGATGCAATTCTGAGAAATAGTTGCAATTCTGAGAAATAAAGACGCAATTCTGAGAAATAAAGTCGCAATTCTGAGAAATACTCGCAATTCTGAGAAATAAAGTCACAATTCTGAGAAATAAATGAGCAATTCTGAGAAATAAAGTCACAATTCTGAGAAATACTCGCAATTCTGGGAAATAAAGTAGCAATTCTGAGAAATAAAGTCACAATTCTGAGAAATAAATGAGCAATTCTGAGAAATAAAGTCACAATTCTGAGAAATGCTAGCAATTCAGAGAAATAAAGTAGAAATTTACATTACATTTACATTTAGTCATTTAGCAAACGCTTTTATCCAAAGATAAAAAAAATTCTGAGAAATGTCACAATTCTGAGAAATACTCGCAATTCTGAGAAATAATATCGCACTTCTGACTTTTTTCTAAGATATTGTGTGATAGAAACTCGCAATTCTGAAATAAAGTCAGATTTGTGATATAAACTTGCATTTGTAAGAAAAAAGAGAAAAACAAAATAAAGTCGCAATTCTGATAAAAAAGTCAATTTATTGCTCAGAATTGCGACTTTATTTCTCAAAATTGTGAGATTTAATCTCACAATTCTGTTGTTTTTCTCTTAATATTAGTTAATATCTTGCAATTTTTACTTTATAATTCAACTGTGAGTTATAAAGTCATAATTCTGAAATTTTAAGAATTTTAAGAAAAGGTTTTTTTTAAAGTTTGTATCTCAAAATTCTGAGAAGTCATAACTGCGAAATATAAACTTAGAATTGAGAGTAAAAAAAGGTCAGAATTGCGAGAAAGAAGTCACAAATACAAGATATATATATATATATATATATATATATATATATACTCACTGTATGTATATATGTATGTATATATTACAATATATTTCTTTCTCAGAATTGCACGTTTTTATCTAACAATTCTGACTTTATAACACACCCTTCGCTGGGAGTTTGATTGACAGGCGATCTGGACAATCATAACGCAGAATCCGCTATTTTGTCCTACAAACAAACCACTACTGGCGGTGGACTTGAACTTGAAAAATGGTGTGTATTGACGTCTTTCCGCGGTTGAAACAAGATACCTTCTGATGTTCATTCATGTTTATTTCAACTATAACTAAAGCGGAAGAGACGATCGGTTCACGTGTAGCTTGATCTAAGGCGCTACAGTGGTCTGTCACGACACATTAAAGAGCCACAAAACAGTATTTATTGTTTGAATTTCTTTAAAAAATATCTGTCGGCGTGTTGTCAGTTTCCTCGTTGCTCTGTGATGTATTTACTGCGTAAGAACATGATGTGTGGTGTGAGAGCGGCATGGCTTGTCAGACGTAGCAACAGTAACTAAGGGGGGGGCGGGTCTTTGCGAAGGGTCATTTGCAAGTTTCTATCATGTAATTGTGAGAAAATCACAATTGCGAGAAAAAAAACTCTGAATTATGAGATAAGAAGTCACAATTACCTTGTTTTATTTGTTATTCAGTGGTGAAAACAGGCTTCCATGTATACTTCTGTGTTTAATGGACCCAAATCAACCAAAGCCGAACATTAAGATTGTTCTGGTAACATTTACTCAGCGTTCAATTCTCCGTTTTCATCTTTCCGTCTCCTCTGGCCTTCATCTTATCTGTAATGATCTCTGATAGCGAACTTTAATTTAGCTAATGTATGACTTAAGAAGGCCGAACGGAGCCGCTGTAGATACACATATACTGTAATCCAATATGACACGAGCTACGATTAACAATATATGTAATGGCACGAGTCCAGCACATCGATATCTGCTCAAACCAGCAGCCAGAGCACAGAGCCATCTGGTATGAAAATATACACAGTACACACTATGCTATTCAAACGTTGTTTAAAAAAAAAGTATACTTTTATTCAGCAAGCATGCATTAAACTGATCAAAAGAGACAGTAAAGACATTTACAGTGTAATGTTGCGAAAGGTGATTTTTTTTATATTTCAAATAAATGCTGTTCTTTTGAACTTTAAAAAAAAAAAGAATCCTGAAAAATAAATATATGATGACATACATGGTTTTAATACATCCAAACACTCTCAGAAAAAAAAGGTACAAAAGCTGTCACTGGGGTGGTACCTTTTTAAAAAGTTTTGTACCTTATTTACCCCAAAGGGTCCATAATAGTGCCTTAAAGATACATATTAGTACCTTTTTCTGAGACTGAACGACACAAATAAACAAAAAAAATTATTTGTGTTCATGTTTTGGTTTAAAATGTAATTTGAGTGTACTGAACCATATAGTCACTCAAAAAAGCCAAAAATGGTTCTTGATTATGTCCGTTTTTTAAAGAACCATCAAAGAACCTTTTATTATTTTTTAATCAAATTTTTATTGATATTTTATCATCTTCTAAACATTCAGAACAACATAGGCAAACAATCAGTGGTAAAAATCCAGATGAACTTGCTGCAACCCTTGGCATTTAAACCATTAATAAAACTGAAAGAAGTGTACGACAGGTAGAAAACAGCAAATTAAAACCCAAAAAGTGAACCGTAAAAAGAGAAATAGAAAAAAGGACCTAACCTTTTATTTTTGAAGCAATAGTTCACCCAAAATGTCATTGTTTTGTGAGCTTCATTCAGACTTGAGCTGGTGAATGTAATTGAGCATCATGTTTCTGTGCCGCAGTATTGGAGCGACTACTATCTGCAGTGGAATACGAGCGATTATCCCGGCGTGAACACGGTTCGCTTCCCAGACTCCCTCATCTGGAGGCCCGACATCCTGCTGTATAACAGGTACAGAAACCAAAGCCTGATCCCAGACACAAGGCATCAAAGCATCGTTAATGCTTTAGTGTTTCTGCTTTAGCTCAGATCATTTATTATTTATTCTTTGCAAAAATATTTTGCACACTCTTTGACTCTTGATGTGAAACATCCGTCAACTCAAACAGATTCAAATTCATTTTTACAATGTTTAATGTTGTTTAATAGTATTGTTGGTATTTTCTGATCATTTTACTCACAGAAATGCAAATGTTGCATTAACAAATTGGAATATGTGTAAAGCTTGGTTGGATTTCTGTCAATACCCGTCCCATTCAGGAGGAACAGCTAATCCGGATGCATTGATTACAGTGATTTAAAGGAATAGTTCACTCAAAAATGAACATTAGCTGAAAATGCACTCACCCTCAGGCCACCAAAGATTAGGATGAGTTTGTTTCTTCTTCAGATTTGGAGAAATGTAGCATTGCATCACTTGCTCACCAATGGAAGTGAATGGGTGCCGTCAGAATGAGAGTACAAACAGCTGATAAAAACATCACAGTAATCCACACCACTCCAGTCCATCAGTTAACATCTGGAGAAGACAAAAGCTGAAACAAATCCATCAAGACGTTTTTAACTTCAAACCATTCCTTCCAGCTAAAATATGAGTTCATAATCCATCTGAATCAGGAGAGAAATCTGCACAGATCAAGCACCGTTTACAAGCCAGAACAGCTCTAAACAAATATGTGGATGGATTATGATGTGAGAGACAACAGGAGATGGACTTCTTCACTGGAGGAAGCATTATTATGGATTATTGACTCATATTTTGGCCAGAAGTGGCAGTTTAAAGTTAAAATGTCTTAATGATGGGTTTGTTTCTTACACTTCTCAAGACATTAACTGATGGACTGGAGTGGTGTGGATTATTGTGGTGTTTTTATCAGCTGTTTGGACTCTCATTCTGACGGCACCCATTCACTGCAGAGCATCCATTGCTGAGACACTGATGCAATGCTACATTTCTCCAAATCTGATGAAGAAACAAATCTTGGATGGCCTGAGGGTGAGGATATTTTCAGAAAACTTTCAATTGTGGGTGAACTATTCCTTTAAGAGAAGTCAGTGAAGAGTGAGTCTGTTTTTTTTCTCACTCAACCTCAGTAAAAATTACAGCGCAAATTAGCTGCTCGTTTTTTTCACAGCGGCTCTTTTATTCTCAACACTTCTCATTTATTTTGACCTTCACGTTTTTGCACTGCCTGCTGGACCTTCATTATGAATTTACAGCTTTTTATTTTTTATTTTTTGACTTCCTGAGTAAAATAACCGCAGTGCTGCTAGCGTCCCATATGACATAAAATAAATCTTGCATGTTCACTCAAAAACAGTAATTAATGCATAAATTGTATGTATTTCAATTGCATATAAATTTACATCCGTTTACACCGTTTTAACACAAACTAATAAACAATAACATGATGCATATTTGTCAGTTATACATCAGATCAGGTCAGATTTCTGTAATAATACTAATAAACCGAATGTATTTTAATACAGAACAACTAGGTTTATTTATTTGTCATTATTAAATGCCATTTGTTTCACTGTCATACATTTTAACTAAATGAATATTGCTTGTTCCACAGCTAGTCATATTTTAACCATTTTCATACCAATTTGTATTAATATTTTGAATGTTTTTATTTTTGTTTTCTGTTTAAAATGAGCTACAATTTCTTTTTTATTCGTTTTTGAAATATGTATATATTATTTTCTTTCTTTTTAAAAATTTTAGTGTTAATTATTTAGTACTTGAAGTTAAACTACATAAGAAGTGTTGCCTTGGCAAGTAGCTGAAATAAAAAAAAAGTTTAATTTTCTTTTTATTTTATTTCAGTTCATTTTTTATTGTTATCATTTCAATTTACAACTTTTGCTTTATGGTTTTAGTTTTAGTTAACTATAATAACCTTGATTATTTAAACAAACTTATTTTTTTCAGCTGTCAAGGAAACATTTCTCATTTTCATTTAGTTTAACTACTTAAATAACTAAACCTGAAATAAAAGTTAATAAAAACATAATTTAAAATAGACGTTTAATTGTAAAATTTAAAATAGACATATTTAAAATAATAATAAAAGTGGCAAAAATACAACAAAATTACTAAAATTACTACTAAATTATTACTAAATTACTACATTTAAAAAAAAAATCTATAAAATCGGATGATATAGAAAATTAAAATGAATTCAAAATATTAATAAAAATCATAATTGTAGGCTATTTCAGTGATACTGAAGTAACACTGGGGCAGCAATCTGATTATAATCTTAATTATGTATGACTGACAAATATGCATCACAATAAGTTGTATTAGTTTGTTTCTGTTAAAACTGTTTCTATATATTATAACTGTTTATACAATACATAAAAGTTTGTGAGTGTTGGGTTTACGTGCAAACAGAGCTCATGATCAGACAGCATAGATTATAACAGCCATTTCTGTTTGCGATGCAATTACCCAGCATGCACCGCTTTCGTGACTGCAGTCTCTTCTTGCAGAAGTTCTCATCATCTCTCTGTGTGTCAGAAAGTGGCGAGGACGTAGAGAGAACGAGGGTTTAGCCTCTGATAGTTCTCTGAACGTCTCTCTCTCTCTCTGCTCTCCTGCGAAACGCCGTCACTCACTGTGTCATCTCCGGCAGTTCTGTGGCGTCTTAAATAACCCTGATTTACACGGCTGACTCCAGACTCACGCCGCTCGTGCTTTATAGACCTGTTTGTCCCACTAAAGTTGCAGGGTTGTGCACTTCCAAACTGCGACACGGCCATCAGAAGTTTGGAAATGTCGCGTTTGTGTGTTCTGCGTTGTGATGATTTTCCACACGTTAGGATCGTACTGATACAGTGAAAGTCTGGGAACGATGCTGTGATCAAAACACAAATGAAAACTCTTTGTCTGTGGGTCTTTTGTTTCTAACAGTGCTGATGAGAGGTTTGACGCCACATTTCACACAAACGTGCTGGTCAACTCATCTGGATACTGTCAGTACTTGCCACCAGGTAAAATACACATAAAAACCCACAATGTCTGCCTGTTATGATGGGATTAGGTCTTCATGTCACTGTTCTGTTATGGTAAATTATCAATGCAATACTGTTATAGTTTTTATTAATATTTAGAATTATTACAATTTAGAATTTATTTTAAGTAACACATTTATTATCGTTTTTGGTTTCACAAGTTGGGTTTTTGCTTAGTTTTTTGTTGTTTGTTTTTATTCAGTTTATTGACTTGTCTTGACACATATAGCAGCAACTCAAAAAATATTTCTAATATAATTTATGATATTTGTTACGGACTGCTCAGAGACTGAGTGAGGATCCAAATGCAGTGTTTATTAGGAAAGTCCAGAATCGAAATCAGACAGCAGGCAAGGGTCAACACACAGGCAATCAGTCCGACTAAACAACAAGGCAGAGAACACAGGCAAAGAGTCCAAAAACCAAGATACATATAAACAGGAGAAACGCTCAGAGATGCAGTGTAACACTTACAAGACTTCGCAAAGAATGACAAACTAAACCAGACTTATATAGGGTGAGCAGACAGGGTAAATGAGACACAGGTGCAAACAGTGAGTGTTGATGAGTCCGGGCAAAGGATTATGGGAAATTAAGTTTTTGATGGAGTGGTAAAGTCTGGGATGGAGTACCCTCTAGCGAAGCTCACGGGCACTCCAGCTAGAGACCATGACAATATTACAGTGTGCAATTTTTGTCACATCACTATATTTACTGAATAGACCCACATGGGATAATTTTGTACATTTATCAAGAATGTAAAGTTCTCATAAAAGTTAAAAAACAGTAATTTAAACGTTTTTATTTATAATAATAATGATAATTAATAGTAGTAGTAGTATCATTTTAAATATAATACTAGTTTTAGTAATACATTTAAATATATTACACATTTTAATGTATAATCTGCAGCAAAATAAAACTTACAAAAATGTTAAAATCACTTCGGTCAAAGCAATATGGTGGTGTCAATTTTCTTAAATAAGTAAACAAATAAATACAGCAAGGTTTTGTTAACTAATAATGATGAATACTGAATGTGCATCAGGTGATTTTACTTTGTTTATATTCATGTTATGAAGGTGCTGAAAGCAAATCATTATATATTCTATTGTAGTTTTACAGTATGATTGTAATTTGTACATGCAATTTTCTTTTAAATTCTGTTTAGCTGTAATGTATTTTTATTTCAGTTTTTGTTTTATTAATAGTACTTTTAAGTCACCTTAAGTCGCGTCTGCATTTCTGGCCTTGTATTAGTCATTGAAACTGTCTAATAGGTTATAAAAATGTAAGTACTCACACATCTCCAGCCTGTCCTGATTTATTTTGTATCCTCCTAGTTGTGGCTCAAAGTAAATCCTGAGTGTCCCGCAGGTAATTTGGCATTGTGGCTCTGTTCACGTGCGCTTGTCTCATTCCCTCGTGAGCTGACAGAGACTGTGCCATCCATCCCTATAGTTAGTGCGGCTCAGGGTGACCTGGACTCACCTGTCACCTGGAAAACACACAAACACACTCTCACCTCTTATTCTGCCGTTTCAATTACTGTCCGTGCGTCCGCTGACAGGAATCAATACAAACACTCACACACGACGGGCTGAGAGTTCAGAAAGAAATGCATGATGGGATTTATGTAAATCAGCAGGAGACAGTGAGCGATCCGTTTTTCTAATGAGGTCGTGTGGAGCCCTCCGGAGGCTTTATTACGGGATGGGGACGGAAACTGAGTGGGACAACTTTAGACTCCAAACAAATTGGATTCACAGAAGTTTGTCTTCAGAGGGACTTTCCTCTAGTTCAGTTCATTGGGGAATTAATTAGGGATGCACGATATTATCGGAACGTTATCGGAATCGGCCGATTCCGATAACGTTCCGATAATATCGTGCATCAATTTGAATAAATTATGCCGATAAGACGGATATGTCACATGTGCTCAGGGTGTGATAGTGATAAGATCACACACGTCAACAGTGTGGTCATTCTTGACACTTGTAAATTAAATAATTTAATATATACAGATTTATTCATTAATATGCAATATATTTTTTTCAAATGGGTTATGAAAACTTAAATACAAGGTGCTGTAAAAGAGTTTTAGAATTTTTACAGCTCATTTGCTTTAGACCATGTATTAATGATAAATCCACCAATAAAACCTTAAGGTTTCAACTACATCTGTCTGAGAAAAAACACACACACACACAGCGGAGATTTATTTTATTACATTTATTTTCAAGGCTTTCAATGTACTCTCATTAAAAAAAAGAACTTTAATAATGGTTATTTATTACTTCTGCTCACTAACCAAAATTAAAAATAATTTGTTTATATTTTGCGCACAGGAGAGACTTGGTGTTGTTTCAAAACAAAGGGAAATATATATCGGTATCGGCATTGTCTATCGGCCAAAATTATTTGAAAAATATCGGCATATCGGATATCGACAAAAATCTAATATCGTGCATCCCTAGAATTATTTTCAGCTCTGTTTTGGAATAGCATATGATCAAAGTATTCATACGAAACTAAACTACACTCTTAATATTTTCTGCCATTTTACTGGTTTCAAGATGTTTAAGTGGTAAGGAAATTGTGTTATGTTTGATTCTTTCTTGATGCATTTGTTTTTGATTCTGTCTGATTCTGTTGTGTTTGATTTGTTTGTTTTTGGTTCTGTTCTGTTTGATTTTATTTGATTCTGTTTTGTTTGTTTTTGATTCTGTTTTGTTTGATTTGTTTGTTTTTGATTCTGTTGTGTTTGATTTGTCTGTTTTTGATTCTGCTCTGTTTTCTTTGTTTGTTTTTATTCTATTCCGTTTGATTTTATTTGATTCTGTTTTGTTTGATTTGTTTGTTTTTGTTTCTGTTGTGTTTGATTTGTTTGTTTTTTTATTCTGTTCTGTTTGATAGATTCTATTTGATTCTATTGTGTTTGATTCTGTTTGATTCTGCTCTGTTTGATGCATTTGTTTTTTATTTAGTTTGATTCTGTTTTGTTTGATTTGATTGTTTTTGATTCTGTTCTATTTGATAGATTCTATTTTATTCCATTGTGTTGGATTCTGCTCTGTTTGATGCATTTGGTTTTGATTCTTTTTGATTCTGTTGTGTTTGATTTGTTTGTTTGTTTTTTATTCTGTTCTGTTTGAATCTATTTGATTATGTTGTGTTTTTTGTTGATTTGTTTGTTTTTGATTGATTTTTGATTTGCTTGTTTTTAATTCCGATGTGCTTGGTTTGTTTGTTTTTTATTCTGCTCTGTTTAGTTCTTTTCTGTTTGATTCATTTTGTTTTTGTTGTGTTTGATTCTGTTGTGTTTAATTTGTTTGTTTGTGATCCGTTGTGGGTAAGAAAATGGGCAAAGAAAGCATTTTTACAGCGTCAGTGACTAAACTAATACAGCATTTCCCCCAATGCTTCTGTTGTTAAGGTATCTTTAAGAGCACCTGCTACATCGATGTGCGCTGGTTCCCGTTTGATGTTCAGCGGTGTGATCTAAAGTTCGGCTCGTGGACGTATGGCGGATGGTCTCTGGACCTGCAGATGATGGAGGCCGATATTACCGGATACATCGCTAACGGGGAATGGGACCTGGTTGGTAAGTTTTACACACGGTACAGTGATGTATGATACTGTGAATGATTAATATAATCATATACCATGTTATTTATGTGATAATCTAAAAATACCAGGCTAGTACCATGATATATGCCCTAAAACACATGGTAGTGCCATTGTACCATGTCCAAAACAGTGTTATTGTAGTATAATTAATGTACTACTACAGTATTTATTAATATTTTGAATTAGTTTTAATTTTCCTTTTTTTATTCAAGATTTGAAATGTTCTTTTTTTTCTGGTGTATTTTTGTCATTTATTTTAGCTTTTTATTTGATTTGATTCATTTAGTTTTTTATGTCATTCAGTAATATATATATATATATATTTATTCATATAAATTATAATTTATTCATATAAAATTGCAACTTGAATTATAAATGAATATATATATAATATTAATAAATATTTTTTTATATTTTGAATTAGTTTTCAATTTTATGTTTTCCATTTTTAAAGTTTTAATAATTTAATAATCTCTTTTTTAATTAATTGTTAGTTTTTTATTAATTATTCCGTTTTCATTTAATTTCAATGAAGACTAATTATTAATTATTAATATATGAATAAGTTAATAATCCCATAGTATCATAGTGAGACGTGTGATTTGAAGCAGATGTTGAGAAACACTGGAAGAAAACAAACAAGTTTTACATAATAGTGTCTGCCATGCATCATTTCATACACACACACACACACACACACACACACACACTGATTTTAAACACTCTCAGTCCCTCATAACTGCATGTGAAATCATCCATTTGTAAATAATCAGCATTTCACAAGATGCCCTGATACATTTCTGTCTTCCAGAACATCATTTGTGCAGATTATCACCGCCAGAAGCTGTAGAGAGCCTGTATCATTTCAAAGTTACTTAAAATAAAAGAAAAATAATTAGCTGACCTCATAAAGCAAATGCATGAAGATTGGACTTGGTGACATATTACAATTTGGCTTGGCTCATGAATATTAATTAGGTGACACAACAACTGATTCTGAATTTGATTCTGATTTGCTAAAATATAAGTGAGCACTAGGATTTCTGTCCTCATGAGCACAATATTTCTGCAAAAACCAAAACTGATTAAAACATGGTTCCTTACTCTAAGTATATTTGTTCTTTTTGATTCTGTTGTTTTTAGACTCTTTGATTCAATTTAGTTTGAATCGGTTGTGTTTAATTCTGTTCTGTTTAATTTTTGTTTGATTCTGTTGTGTTTGACTCTTTGATTTGGTTATCTTTGATTCTGTTTTACTCTGTTCTTTTTATTTAATTTGGTTTGTTCTGTTTGATTCTATAGTTTTTTTATTCTGTTCTGTTCAATTTTGTTTTATTCAGTTGATTTGATTCTATTGTGTTTGATTTGTTTGTTGTTTTGATGCATGTGTTTTTGACTCTGATTCTGTTTGTTTGTGATTCTGTTTGATTCTACTTAATTCTATTGTGATTCTGTTTTGTTCTGTTTTATTTAATTCTGTTTGATGCTTCGTTTCTGTTTTATTCAGTTCTGTTTGATTCGGTTCTGTTGTCTGATTCATTGGTTTGTTTTTGTTTTGTTTGTTTTATTTACCATTTGATTCTGTTCAATTTGACTCTGTTGTTTAGAACAAACACTAAACAGACATTAAATAATGTCTGAATGCATATCTACAGTTGTATTTTAAAGTATACATCAAGATTTTTTATTTTCTGAAGAAAATGTGAGTGATGTTATGAGGGTGTTATGGGGAGTTTCCAGGGTGTTGCTAGAGTCAGTGACGTGTGCATGTGTGTGCGTGTGTGTGTGTGTGTGTGTGCGTGCGTGCGTGTGTGCATGCGTGTGTGTGTGTGTGTGTGTTGATTTTTCACTTGAAATTGTTACTGTTATACTCAAAGAAATTTTTTAAGTGTGGGTGTGTGTGTGTGTGTGTGTGTGTGTGTGTGTGTGTGCGTGTGCGTGTGTGTGCGTGTGCGTGTGTGTGCGTGCATGCGTGTGTGTGTGCATGTGTGTGTGTGTTGTAGAGGTTCCAGGCAGAAGGAATGAGAAGTTCTACGACTGCTGTAAGGAGCCGTATCCTGACGTCACCTTCACTGTGGTCATGAGGAGAAGGACGCTGTACTACGGCCTCAACCTGCTGATCCCGTGCGTCCTGATCTCCACTCTCGCGCTGCTGGTGTTTCTGCTGCCCGCTGACTCTGGAGAGAAGATATCGCTGGGTGAGATGCACACAAAACTTTTTAATGCACTCTTAAAAATAAAGGTTCTTTAGTGGCATCTCTGGTTCCATGAAGAACCTTTAGCATCCATGGAAGGCTTACAAGGTTACGATGTTCTTCACACTTAGAAAAAAATGCCCCTTCTATGGCATCGACGAGAAAAAAACTTAATTTTTAAGAGTGCATCTCCGTCATTTCTTCCAGACAATAATGAGATTCCATGGAGCACAAATGTAGACTTTTGCTTAAGTTTTCAGCTTCTTAGATGTTTCTCCTGAGAAAAAGACCCCAGTAATCTCACTCGCGTCTGCTCTCGCTGATAAATGGGTTTGAATGCAGCAAACAAGAGCAGCTGATTTTGCAATACAAGA